TGCTCAGTCTACTGGTTATGCACAAGGTGGTGGGAAAAGATTGCAATGTGGGGATGCCAAAATATTCAGGTTACCTACTGAGGCCACACCTTCCTCGCCTGCTCTGCTGAAGAATCATAGCCATGTCTCTGACGGCATCAAGGTCATGTAATTTGCTCCATGGAAACAGTCATCCTTCCCATTGTTCCTCTGTTTTCAGGAACTGAAAAAGTTCAGCTTAAGCTTGGTTTAAAGGGTGTTCAGAAATTATTCAGCATCTTTCCTGTTTTTTGTTTGGAAATGCCTTAATGTAACTGTTGTATTATTAGCTTTTAAGACACTTCGTGTACATGTTAAATGTACCTATCTTAAATGGACAGACACACAGACAAACAGATGTGCAAATTTTGCAGAGGAACCATGAAGAGCATCCCATCTAATGACCTCCGTGATGAGGCAGGTTGATGAGAAAGAATGCACTCTCTCAAGTATCCTAGTCCCAAGTTGTTTAGGGCTTCATAAATTAGTACCAAGACCTTAAACCTGTTCCAGAAGGAGACAGACAGCCAATGCAGAAAAGGAATTGCATGCAGGAAACAGGAAGCTCCGGGCAACAGCTGTGCTGCTTCCTTCTGCTGCTTCTCCAGCTTTTGGACCTCACATTGAATACACTGCAAGAATCCAAAGAGCTATCCCCGCCCAGGAGATGCCATAGATGATGAACCATCCAAAGCTGGCAAAAGGAACTCCAAGCTGCCATTGCCACTTGGACCTCCAGCAACAGTGATTGATTTATGAACTCCCTTAGGATAGGCCTGATATTTGAAAGGGAGTGCAGCCCCATCCAGAACAGGCAATGACTCTGTCCCCCAGGCTCAGGGATTACTCACCCTCTGAGTTGCAGGGCTTCTGTCTTACCAAGATTCAGCTTCAGTGTATTGGCCTCATGCAGCCCATCACTGAGTCTAGGCACTGGTCTATAACTTGCACCACATCATTCAGATGTCACAGGAAGACTGAGCTGCATGTCATCAACATACCGATGGCACTTTGCTCAAATCCTCAAATGATCAATTCTAGCATCTTCAATTAATGTTGAACAACTTTGGGGATAAGATTGGAACCCCATAGCTCAGTTGCTAAGGCGCTGAGGAATAGTGAATGTCCCTACAGGTAAGATCAGAACCATTGTGTTTTCAAAGTCCAGTCCATGGAGCTGAACCATGAGAATGCCATGGTCAATGGCATCAAAAGTCACTGAGAGATCAATTAGAATTTCCAGAGCTGCATTCCCCCATTCCTCTCCCAAGAAAGCTCATCCATCAGGCTGCCAAGAGTGATTTGGTCCCTAGTCAAAACCCAGACTGGAAAAGGTGTAGAGGGCCGCTATCCTCCAAGCCATCCTGCAATTGCTCTGCCATGACTATTTCTAGCACCTTCGGTCCAGAGAGAGTTTTTTCAGGAATGGTAAAGCTACTGCTTTTTCTGAGATGTTTGGATTCTGTAGACTCATGGCCCAGTTGTTTCATTTGTTTGTTTTTTACTTGGGAAGATATGCTAATACGCATTTAACACCAATGCATGCTTACACAAATGGAATGCAATTTTTATACATCTCTATTTCTCACAGGCTGCCAACCACACAGCAAGAAACCCATTCACTCCCAGGTTCATTTAACTTTGTGTCATGGATGCTCCCTTTACTTTTAATGGACAGATTTGTATGAGGAATGACAATCATGTTTTAGTTTATAATAATAATTAACCTCCCTTCCTACACATGCTAAATATGAAGGACTTACCGTAAGTAATGAATCTGCATTTTCTGTGCATTCATTATGCTTGACTCATTATTTCCAGTACAATCCTCATTGCATAAACAATGATCTCAGACACATTTATTCAGAAGCAAGCTCTATTAATTTAATTATGATTTACTCAAGAATATGTGAGTGTAGACAGGGTTGTAATAAACAGCAAACAACAACAAAAATCACACCAAATGTTATAGATAGACTTACAGGCCCTCCTTCCATAGGAGCAACAACTACAGAATACCTCAAAGACATTTTGATACCAGCTGGTGGCTGGGTTATTTTCCAGAAATAGAAATGAGATGTCTACATTATATATCAAATGTTGGATAAGTTCCATTCTTATGGTATTCAGACATGAAAGATCCATTGCATCAAAAGCCAGCCAGAATACAGAACTCTTTGAACAATTTCCTGAATGAAAATTGCCTCAAGGAATGGTGAAATATTTATGTCTACAGGCTTAGCTGGTAAGGTATATTCATCCCACCTGCTGTGGCATGTTTTTTCTGTATATGGGCCAAATGTGGAAGCCCTTAGAATTTTGGAAAAGAAGCAAAGAGTTTGGTTCAAAATTCTGTAATTGAACTGTTTACATGCTTAAAAAGCCTGCATCCAACGTTTTCATTTATCACATTTTATTCTGCCATTCTTCCAAGGCACTCATGCTAATGCTGAGCTAGATAAATTTTAGATCGTGCAGGGATTTGCAAAAGTTACACCTGGGTGGCTGTCAGCGAAGCATGGTTATGCTTGCATCAAGTCCAGTAGGCCCGATGATAGCAAACAGGGTACATCTCATGCTACAAATGACCAAGCAAGGGATGTTGAATAAAATGCTTTTACTACGTGGTTTGCACTGGGGATACTGTGTGCACTTCCTCTTGCCCATTCCCATCCCACAAACTATGTAGCATGGAAAAAGACGCAGGTACAGATGTGGCCACTGACTTAGGTGACTTTATAGGAGATTTAGATTGATTCATGTCAGGTATCTACCAATGACTATTAGCACAATGGCAGAATGGTGCTACCATGCTCAGCACCAATATACGCACCTCTGGAGATGCTTAGAACATGCAATGGGGAGACCTATCACTTTCATGGCCTGCTTCAGGACTTCCCAGAGGTCTCTGGTTGGCCTTCTGGGAGACAGGAAGCTGGACTAAACAGTCCTTTGGTCTGATCCATCTCAGCTTCTCACAGGATTTTTTTCCTGCCTCCTTAGACATACGGAGTGGTGCTCTGTCCATGCTTTGTCAATGGTGCTGTGGTTTGCCTCAGCCTTTGGCCCATCACTCTTCTGGTTTTGATGTAGTTTATGCCTCTCATTTGTCTTCTCATGGCAAATCATAAGCTCAAGGGGCAAATCTGATCCAATATCCTACTATTTGGAAAGCCACAGTCATGAGAAATGACAATTAGCTGCATTGTACAGAGTTCAGTTATCATCACAGGTCAGCTTTGTAGGCTGGTTCCTAGATGGCAGGAGCTGTCTGTGCATGGGGGGTGGGGGGGACTTCTGGTTCTTCTGATGGCTTGGCCTGCAACTGCCATGAGCCTTAGTTTGCACAGCCAATGGTGAGGGATGGTGGGAGCTGTAAGCCAAAACATCTGGATGGCCATAAGGCGCCCTCATATGACATATGGGGTGGTGGCAGCACTAAATGTCCTTCATGGGGTCATCCTCCAGCTTCTCTATTTATGCCCACATCAGCACTAAGGCAATTCTACGCATCCCCCTGCCCAAATGCACGGGGTGTTGGCATATTCTGCAAACTGCCTGACATTATTTTGAAAGGATGTGATTGCACGGATGGCTGCAGTCCCATTGAGACCTGCACACGTGTGTTTCCAGTTCACAGTGGACTGATTGCACAGTGGGTGAAAGGAACCAACATCCATCTGCCACTGCCACATGCATGAATTTGCCCTGCATATCTGGCACAGGTCTTGAGCCCATCAGATATTTAATACCGATTTTTAAAACAGCAGCCTAACAACTTGACACCAAACCTCTGCCATTCAGATGTATTTCCTTCTCAACCACTGCATGCACAAGAAGGTCTTCGATGTGAAGAGGCTTCATATTGCCCAGTGCCAGGTCTGAAGCGTCTGTAAGCACTTCAATGTTGCCTATTAGCACACTTGGGTTCTATGGCTCAGTGAAATCTGCACTGCTGTTCAAATGCAGACAGTAATAGGACTTAAAGGTCTTTTAAATAGAATGCTCCATTGTGTGGAACTTCAAAGGAATAAGTACTTTCTGTGCAATCAGCACCTCCCTTCTATTGGACCAGAACAGTAGCTGCTTGGGATCCAAGCATGTTAACCCTCAGTTGGAAAAGAGGGGAAATGAACTAAAATATCAGATCTCAAAGCATTTGTTAGCAATTGTGAATTGCTGAAACTAGGGATGAATGAAACAGTCTATTTCTGTTCCATGTCAGTTCTGCATTTATTCAATCATAAGTCCATTCTATTTAATTTCAGCACGAGTCTGCATTTTTAAAAGTCCATGGAAATGTGTAATTATATAGCATGGGATACTTCATTTTTGCAGCAATTTCCCCAAAGATATGTGTTTTTGTGTGAAAATTACCCAAACCATGCTTAAATCCATGCATTTTTATATCTGAATTTTGAACAAAGTATTGCATTGCGAAATCTGGAGAAGCATGCTACAGTCTTCCTGTCCATCTCTTATTCTGGGAAGTGAAATTGGGTCAGTTGGCTGAAAAATTCAGACTGAACAAAATTCTACTCCATCTCTATATGATGTGGTCCTCTGGAATAGCAAACGGAGTTCTACATCTCTTGGTTTCCTATGGAAACTTCAGTCTCTTTCATTATTAATGTTCCAGTTGCCCATCACTAGATCTTATGTTCAATCAACATTTCAGCAAAGGTTTAAATGGAAAAACCCCACCATAGAGGACAACGAAAGAGGGTCCTCATAGGAGAGTGGACGTTGTTGTTGTTATTTTAAACGTGGCTTCTGTTGGAATGAGAAATTTCATCTGGGTGAGCTCTTGGCTTGTATAATTGCATTTGGCAGTGGCATCTCTCCAAGTTCCCTTGCTGTGCTACTGCTGGTGAGCTGGCAGAGGGAGAGAGATAGCTTTTTCCGGCTGCCCTTTGACTGCTGCCCTGGCCACACCCAGCCTGCTGTTTGAAGAGGTGCCTCTGCTAGAATCATTATGGTATTTCCATCCTCTTTAGCTCCAGTGAAGAGGAATTCACCTGGTAGTTGGACAGAGTCCTTAGCCAAGCGTGGAAAGTAAACCTGCTGCAGACGCACACAGCATTCTCGCCTTCCTCCCAGGCAAGTCATCAGTAAATGCTTTTCTTTTTCTTCATGTCGCTATACTGTAGGTCATTTTCTCATATTTCTTTCTGGCCAAGCAGTCAGACAGGCAGGGGCTGGGGGGTGGAGGGGAGGATTGATAATCTGCACTGCTAACTTTTCCCCTGACTCTCTGATTGTGGATAACAGTTTGGTTGCAATTTGCAGAAAGGGAATAATTTGAACTTGTACTTGGTAGGTGCCATGAAGGTTCAAATGAAAGGGAAGAAGTACATTTGCAACTGGTCTCTCCATGTATGTGGCAGAATTGAATGGACTGACTTTCCAAGCTTTGAAAACGTTACTTGGTAGCGTGAATGTCTTTTAGACTGTTGATAGTCAAGCTATTAGTCTCCATTGTCACTGTTGTTGCTGCTTAATGAACTAGCTCCAGTTAACTAACCGTATGTATAGTGGGCTGTCTAACAGCATTGCCGTCTATAGAGATACTGCTTTAGATTTCAGTCCTGTACACGGTTGCCTGGGAGTAAGCCATCCATTGCAATCAGTAGGTTTGACTTCCCAGTAAACATACAGAGCATCACACCTCGAGACACATTCAGGCTTACAAGCAATTGACTGGGGCAGGTGACCCCTTTTCGTTCCCCCTTTTCCTCCCCCACCCCACAAACAATTCCCAACTGCTTGTTGAAATTGGCCAATAAGACAGGGCAACAGGGAGTGAAGCTTGGAGAAGAGCAAGTATATAAGAATGAATTACCTGCGGCAGAAATGGTACTGGGGTCAGCCAAGACTGTATAATTGTGTTGGCAGAGAACAGCCTAATAACTACATGTGACATACATCCTTTGCAGTCATAGGGAGAATGCTTACTTTTTAAATTTATTTTCATTAAAATGAGCATTGATCTATCTCCTATCTATATTTAATTTGTGAGGGTGGGATCGAGGCAGGGTAGGGGTAAAAATTCACTTCTCACATATGGCAGGCCCTATTCAGGTCAGAGTTGCTGATGCTTGGTTTTAATTTTAAAAAACAGCAACACATTATGTTACTTGCAATAGCACATATATGATATTCCTGGGAAGTATCTGGACCACTGTTGGAACATGTATTAATAGCTTTGATTTACCATATTATTCTTTAACATGATGCACTGCATGTGGCTAGTCCTCATATTTATGAAAGTTGCTTCTCAAAGCAATCTGAGAATAACATACATTTCAGATCTGGAAATCACACTGCTCTTTGTTATTAAAGTATATTTAAATAGAAAGCTGATAACAGCAGCTTTTTCCTTTAAGTATGGAAGGATTCAGGGAAACTTTATCAGATAATATATTTCCTCACACACATATCCCTAAGCTGACTTGCCTGATTTTGAAAGTTTTCCATTTCCAGTTAAATATGTTTATGGTTTCACATTGTAGTCCTAAAAATCCCTTAGAACTACCAGTCAGTGATTACTGGGGACCTGAGCTATCAACAAGAAAAGACATCTTTGCGTACTCCTAAGCAGCTATCTGAACACTGCCACTTTCATCTTATAGGTGTCTGCAGACAGATGGCTTGCGGATAATTAAACATAGGAAATAGTCAAACTGTTCACAGCCAAACCAGATCATCAGCTCATATATAAATGGACCCAGCCTGTCTTGTAGCTGTTGTGGAGGCCTGGTTCTTCTGGTTTGAATCGAGATACACAGGACTTCAAGCCCAAACATATTTAAAGAGTGATGATAATTAAAAAAAAATTCAACAGAAACAAATGCAAAAAAAAATAATAAAAAAAATCAAACCGGAAAACTAAGGCAAAGGGTGGAACCAAACTATAATGTTTTGGGTTATTGCAGAAAACAGGAACTCTCTGTCCAATTCCCCCTCTTTTCATTTTGATATTTTTATTTTGGCCTTCCTCCAAAGAACTCAAGAGAACTCTTCCCTTCTGTCACCATTTTAGCTTCAGGAGAATGCTACAAGGCAGGATTTGGCTAAAAAAGCCTGAGTCCTGGCTGAATGGGAATCTGAACTGATGCAAAATCTAACATTCCAGGTCGCAGAGATCCTTCCCTTCCCTTCCCTTCCCTTCCCTTCCCTTCCCTTCCCTTCCCTTAATATAGTTGTGTCAATGCATGGACTGATGTCATCACCATGTATGTTTGCCTTCTGCACAGCAGCCGACCATGTGAAGAGGGGGCAGGGAAGTGCACCAGGATGACATCATGTCACATGTGTCCATAGCAACAGGAGAGGATGGGGGATGTGAGGTGGGGCTACCCTTTTTTGGTGGCATCCACCCCTTGTTTGACATCATGTCTGTTGCCTTCCAGATTCCTTCCCCTTCTACATACCCAGGGCTAGACTCTTAAATCAGCGGAATTGATGGAGTCATTAACTCAGACTTGAATCAATTAATTGGGGAGGGTGTCTTCTAATTAATGAGGTAGCCGTACCTATTTTTATGAGTCGATATTTGGTCCCCGTGTGTTACTGTGAGAGGGTGCAAAAAGCAACATTTTAAAGCATGAACTTTTCTTGCTACGATGAGCAGTGATTTTTTTTTTTTAATGAAATGGGAAGTGATACTTTGGTATTTCAAGAATATACTAAAGATGGGGTAAGATGCAAATTCATTTAAATTAAGTGAATTGAATGAAACGCAAGTCATTAGCTAACAATAACAAGGACACCCACTTTAATTGCTCGAGAGCCTGCCATCTATTGCAGGTCTTCCTTCATTCAAATCTTCCTTTAATTATAAGTTGCTGCCACACTCGGGGATTTAGATGTGAAGCAGAACAGCGCTTTGTGGCTTTAATGCTCACCATAATAGGCAATCTGTTTGGTTAGTGGTAGGTGCCCTTGGTCTGACCTCCTCCCTTGTCAGTTTACCCACTGCCTCCTTCAGGCTGTTGATTGTGATGTTTTCCATATCTAATTATGCATTTATAGGCCTCTGCCTCTAATGTTATAGAAGGCTAATGGTGAGCAGGGAAAAACAGGATGTGGGATTTTATAAGCAGAAAAGGTTCTCCCACCCCCACCTCCACACACTGCAATTTAAAGAGAATTAGGGGGCCTTTTACTCTGCGCCATCCAGTGTGGCACATATTTGAAGTTCAAACTTAATTATGATGCCTATAAAATCCCCAAATTTGGTTTGATTGCAACAGTGGTTGAATGAAAGTTGCCCCCTACCATGTTATATGAACAATGCTAACTCAGGGGGTTGAAAAATCATCATATTCTAGCTGGTAGGTGCTGGAGTCATATAGTAAGAAACTGAGTGGAGAGCCCGGAAGAGCCTGGTTCAACTCTTGCCTGTGCTCAGGTTCACTTGGGCAGCCTTAGGGAAGCCACCGTTCTCAGCATTCTCATCTGCAGTATGGGGATAATATGTTAGATGGTGTTTCCTCACTAAGACATTTTAACAACAGATGAGAAGAAGGATATGCGTATCTGCTCAGCTTGTTCAAAGTCCTCAGGGGATTTATAGAATCACAGAATAGAAGAGCTGGAAGGGGCCCATCGAGTCCAACCCCCTGCTGGGGCAGGAGACTATGTTACACCATCCCACTCAAGCTGTCCAGGTTTTTTTTTTAATGTCTCCAGTGTGGGAGCGCCCACCACCTCTCTGGGCAGCTGGTTCATGGCATTCAGAGTGCCATGCCCTCATCTATATTTATTGATTGATTGTATTTATAGCCTGACCTTTCCTCCTGCAAAGAACCCACAGTGGCTTACATGGTCCATCTCATCTCCTTTTGATCATCCCAATAACATTGTGAAACATATTAGGCTTCAGGTCAGGGACTGGCCCCAAGGCGCCCAGTGAGCTTACTGGCTGAGGGAGACTAGAATCCAGATCTACCAAGGCCCAGCCTAACCTACTAGTCATTACGCTACATTAGCCCTCTTTTTCCTCATCTTAATTTTTTCAGGAACACTTTTCTGTAGAACATATGAAACGGTTCACCTACTTTGCCTATACTGGCATGCAGAACCTCTTTCAGTCCATGGGTCAAATTCTGCTCTGGAGAAGTCCTCAAAGCAACATTTCAGGATGGATAAAGGAGTGCGGCAAAACACCCCAAATGCATCTATGTTTTATCTTAATGCTCTTCCTCTAGTATCTAAGCCTTAGGAGAGACATTTCAAGCTTTTGGGATGGAAATATTTAAAGAAGGAAACCATCGAGCAATTGGTAGCCAGAGTGATGGCAGTGGGGACAGGGGAAGAGGGGCTTAGGTGCCTGGGGAACCCTGTGGCTTTGGCCCTAGCCTTGACGGTCCACATCCTAACTTCCTCTGTAGCTTTGAAGGGAGAGGGGTTCTGCAGAGGATTCCTGTACAAAACCAAAGCAGCCCAAGCTCCAATGGAGCCTTCCCTTGAAATGCCAGCTCAAGAGAGAGGATTATGCTAGGATATGGAAAGGCAGAGGGAGATAAATCCCCAGGCTGAGACCTAAAACTAGGATGCTCAAGCTTTGCCTATATACCTGACACTGCTGGGACGTATGTGTGAAAGAAGGAATCACATGGATGAGTCAATGATACGGATCTCTTGTACATAGCATTTTTATATTGCAACACTTCTTCAGGATGGAGAAAGTGGTCTTGGCACAAACCTACGCATGCTTAGACAGAAGAAAGCCTTGCAGCTCCCAGCATGTCCCAGCCAATGTGCCCTAAATAATTTAATTTAATCAAATTATTATAATTGCATTTAATCTCACATTGGTTGCATAAAAATAAATAACACCTCCCCCCGGCTGCTTCCTAATTCTGCACAGACCTTTTCCAGCATCTTGTGCCACAAGGAAGCTGTGGTGCAGTTAGACAATTTAGATGCTGGCCCTAATGGACTCATGTCCAGTCCCAGCCTCTGGAGATGAGAATGTCTATTATGTCACTTATTTCAAATGGTTTTCGAATGGTCATGCGCATTACTTTACTTATTCCAAAAAGTAGGGACTCTGCTCTGCTGTATCAGTGGGATCCTTGCACACATTCTGCCAAAGGGGTCCCTGGAGTTCAGCCCCAAAGTCCTACCTGATGATGCCCCTGCATGGAAGCAGCTCCCAGGCAGCTTGCATGGAAGAAAGGAGCCTTGGGGGCCTCTGGCTGCCTTCCCATCCACCTTCCTGGCTCCCAGGCCCCTCACTGTGTAACAACTTGTGGGACTGACAGAGATGGACAATATTAACAATGTGCTTAATGATGAAGGTTAAGGTAGCAGCTGAGCAATATATGGTTTCAATTTTAATTCTTCCAGGAACTCAGGTGGCCTTGGGCAAAGTGCTCTTTCTCAGACTTCTGATCCCATACATCAGGGCTGGGAAAGCTTTTTTGATCTGGGGTTTGGACTGAACCCTCCCCACCTCACTGGAGCTGGCAGACTGGATGGTGCCAAAGGGGCAAAGCCCACCCAGTCCCTGTGATGCCATCTGTCTCCAACCACTTCTCCTTTTCCCATGCGTTTTTTCTCCATGGAGAAAAAACCAGGCCAGTGGCTGCAGGAGCTGGTTCCTGCAACTCCCAGATGAGTTGGGGGGCTCCTTCCCAGGCATTCTGGGAAATCTCCAAATCATAGAGCTTTGCTATGACAGGGGGAGTCTTCTCCCTGGCCTCCCCCCACCCCCCAAGCCACCAGCAGAAGGGGAGAAAAGTTCTGAAGGGGAACAGCTGGACTGAGAACCTCTGCAGGTCAGGTTCCTCTTACTCCTGCCACTAGTAGATATGTGTGCAGGCGGAAGTAAATTCCGTTGTATGAAACTGGGATTATTGAATAGGTTTTAGAATTGCAACTTAACCTCCCATCTGCTTTGTGGAATTAACAATAATACTTACACAGGGCCATTGTGTGAATAACTGGAATAATGGAGTTGGGAGTTGATAAGTCTACGTATATGCTTGGTCTTCTATAAAGTTGCTAACAAAGACAGGAATGTCATTGTGGCTAGGGTTGGGTGGCTGCATTGGCCATTAAAAAGCATAGCTGAACTATATCAAATGCGCACGGCTGATTGGTAAGCTGCGTTTCTGGTAGCCATGGTCAGGGAGCTTCCATGCACAGCTATTTGCAATGAGCACCAAGCTCCCTACATTAATAGTGCAGAGAGAGTCAAATGTTTCCAAACTGCCAGCATTGGGTAGCTGTAGCTCTTCTAAACTGTGTTTGCCTTTGGTTTTGCCATGTTGTTGAACTCAAGGGTGCTCAATCCATATAGGTATAGGGGCCTGATTGGCTTGATGTTAGTCAATGGGGAGAATGTTCCCTCTCTCTAGCATTGAGTTTGATGAGTCATTAACATCAGTTAAACCACAACAGTTGTACCATGGATTATATATAACAGTGTAGTACAAGCTGCAATCATGGAAGACTGTCCACATGCATTTTTACAGAAAAGCACATTTCTAAACTTTTCTGATGTATGTGGGATACTAGAAAATGTGCATATTTATTAGGTGCACTTCTATCATGCTTTTCAAACCCAAAGGGCTTCAAGATGGTCGACAATTAAAATACCCCATTACAACACCAGTCATTGATATAAAAATATAAAACAGGGGTAGCTCTCAAAGCCATGTAAGCCAACAGGGAGGTAGGAAAATATCAGCTGATAAACACCCTGCCCAAATAAAAAGCTCACCTGGTGCTGAAAGGTTAACAACATTGGTGCCTGGGGAACATCCCTGGGAAGGAGATTCCAAAGAAAGGGTGTTGCCATGAAGAAAGCCCCCAAACCTATCCGTACTTACCTGGGAAAAAGTCCCATTGGACTGGGTGGGATTGGCTTCTTACTAAAGTTTTATAGAAAATAATTTGGAAACCAACAGGAGTAAGTGGACTGGTGGAGTGTCAGGGTGTCACTGTGAGCATGTGTTTGTGTGAAGATCATGTAAAATTTGTGTGCTCGTTTCCTTAAACCTAAAAGTTATCAAAACTTGCATCTGCCCAAGAAGAGCATCAGATATCAGCACCCTCCACCTCAGAATTTCTTGTGACTTGACATTCACCCCACCAACTGTTACCCAGACCATATCACATGTCACGTTATTAAGGGTTTATTAAGTCTTAAGTCTAAAGTTTAAATGACTCATGATGAGCATAACAGCATTCCTCCTAGGTGCTAATCTCATCCAGCATTCCATTCCCATAGTGACCGACAAGATGCAAAATACCATACCTTGTGGTAGCAATTTCCATAGAAATACAAGGCACTCTGTGAAAAAGTACTTCCTTTTTCATCTTCTGAATCTCACACCATCCAGCTTCAGAAGGACCGCTATACAAGACATGACAGGGGGTCTCTGGGCACATTCCGTGAACTTGGGTCAGGTGAGGGAGGGTGAATTTAGGCAATGAGTTCTTTCTCCCAGTCCTACATGCATTTTTTGCACCTCTGCAACATGCCTGCATTTGCGCACATGCTTATGTATTTGTTACAGTTATATCTCAACTTTCTACCAAGTAGCTCAAGGTGGCCTACATGACCTCTCCATTTCATCCTTTCAGCGTGAGATTGAGAGTCAGTGACTGGTGCAATGTCATGCAGTGAGTTTCATCTCCAAGTGAGAACAAGAACCCAGGTGTCTCAAGCAGCAGTCCAACTAAGCCTTCCATGTTGGTTCTCCATCTTACTGATGGAATGCCACTCTTCAGTTCAGCACCCCTGAACATGTGTGTAATAAGACAGTATGCTACAAACTTTTCCAAGCTGGTGGCCCCCAGATGTTTGGATTTCAACTTCCATCAGTCCTAGTCAGCATGGTCAATTGTCAGCGAATTGGAAGCCACCGGCTTGGGAAGACATGGTGCTGTATCATTGAGGTGTGGCTAAGAGAGATTCAGGGAGGTCACTACCATGTGCTGGATCCAAAACAAGTATTGGACCTCATTTTATTAATGAAACATGAGGTTTGGGGTGTTGTCATGTGCTGTCAAGTTATCTTTGATGGCCACATTATGAATGAAAGCCCTCCAAAATGTCCTATTCATGACATCTCTGCTTAGCCAGGACATCAGTATATCTCACATTGGAAGGTTTGGGTGCTTCAGTAAATAAAGGCTTCATTTAAATACCCAAGTCTTACACCATTTGTTGCTTTCATATCATTGTGTATTATTCCACCATTTTCTAGATTGCTTCCTTAATAACAGGCATCCCATCCAATGAATTAGTCAGATGGAGTCCTTGGCACTTAATTTAGATTTTTTTCCCCTAGAGAGAGGAATGAAACTGCCAGTTACTCCAGGGAGGCACTGGCTCCTTTTAGTTCTGTTGCCAGCTGTTTCATGTCCCAATCAGCCAGTTTGTTTAAAAATTAATAATAACAATAATAATAAACTGCAATAGGCATCACTTTTGAGTTCATTTCATGGAAACAGCTTTAAAGAATTTTTGTTTCCTGTCAAGCAAAGAGTCTTAAATAATGGTGGGACTGACAGTGAGGGAGGAACTGAAATGATGAGAAATCACCATCTTATTCCTATCTACAAAGAAAGCCCATTGCAATCTGAAAAGCATAAGTATCGAGTGACAGTGGCCAGGGTTGCTTCTTCCCAGCTGCCTTCTGCCTGAGTGGCTGGATCAAGGTTACCTTTGAACAAGCTAGCTCTAAACTGAATCACTGTAATCTGCTATGCAGTGGTCTCTTCTTGAAGGGAGTTCAGAACTTCAATTGAAGTACATATACAAACCTGGATGGTAGTGGGGACTAGACAGTCCAAACATGTACATCGTTTTTACACCATGTGCACTGGTTACTAGTGAGTTTTTAGGCCTGGCACAAACTGCAGGTGTAATCTTTAAATCCACAAATGCTTTAGGGCTGCCTTCACTTGTTATGGGCACTTCCATGCACTCAGGTCGACTTTGGAGGTTCTGCTCACATGTCCACTGGAAGCACAATCGGTAAGGTTGGCAAGCTTCAAAGGTCAAAATGAAACCCACATCAGAAAGAGAAGATGAAGGATATTAAAATATGAATCACTTTGATTTATAGAATTACAGATTTATAGAATTCTAGATCCTTTAAATGAAGGTCTTAAAGGATCACAAAATGTTCTTTAAGTGATCCTTTAAGACCTCTAGTGATTTTTGAGTGGTCTGCAGGAGGAAACAGGTCTTGACAATCCTTGTTTTAGATTTGTGCCTCCAGAAACATATCGCCAATACTCTGAATGGGGCTGCAGGGTAAGTTTCTCTGCATCTTCTATATCATGTCAGACTCTCAGAAATTCATTCAACACCCCCCCCCCCCTTCTGTTTCTGCAGGCAACTGAAAGACAATGAATTACTACATGGACACAACTATTGCATGTCCGGCTCCCTACACTCTGACCCGTCCTGCAGTGATGGTAAGAAAAGTTTCATCTAGTGCAATATGGTGTATGAATACAGGGATGGGGTTGGCAGGTAAAATATGTCAGCCAATAATCCTATGTCAGCTCATGTAAATTCCCATGTTTATCCTGATTTTCAAATGAAATAGCTCCAGAAGCATCTTAGAAGGAAGGATGAATAATATGATACCCCTTTGCTCCAGCTTGCAATCTAAAAGACAAGACACAAAATGAAATTAGTTTGGGTAGAATGAAGGGGTGAAAAAGGAAACTCATCAACTACTTCTTCGTTATTTCATCATTCTTCTAAGTGTTCTTTTTGGCAAAAGAGATGGAAGCTAGCTCCCTGCAGCTGTTGCTTCTCTGGCCAAGATGCTGGGCCAGGCTGGCTTGTTTGTTACCATGATACTCTTCCTGGGAGACAGAGTTGTAGCCTCTCATTTGGTCTGTGGCCAGTGGCAGAGTGTGTTGCCTTTCAGCTCTGCACTCCTGGGGGAATTCAGTGTGTTCTCCTTTTCCTGGTGTTCAAGCAAGAGAGGATTCTAGGTGTGGGTCTTGATTAATATTAAAGGCATGTGAGCCAAAAATGCCTTCTGACTCCCCACTACAAGTATAAGTTCCACAACCCCTTGTCTCAAAGCTAAAAATGTGAATGACAGTTGAGAAGTTATATTGAGTAATATGAGATCTCTCCAATGTTTGACCTGTAAGGGTTGTTTTGCTCTAGGAGTTGCCAGTCAAGTTTGGGGTGGGGGATAAATATTTGGGCTGGCTTCTTTGCTTTCGGGGCCAGCTGCCAGTAAAACTCTCTCAGCCTTCTTTTCAAAAAGTTGTTTAAACGTTTTTTTAATGTTTTAACTGCTTTTGGGCAAGGATCTGTCCCTGGCTATGGGAAATTCCAACCTTCTCCCCCTGGTCACTGGCCAGCCCTTCTGGATTTGCCAAATTCTTTGCAGTGCCACCCTCTTTGCTCACCACCGGATCTGCGGCCGACTCCTCCCATTGACCTTATCTCCCCAAAATGGAGGCATTAAAGAGTCAGCAAGCTCTATTTCACCCATATAAAATATCTTCAACAGCACTTAAAACAGGAACCTCACAATGCTTAAAAAAGCCACCTCTAATCTTCAAATACCCAGGACACAGAAAGAATGTATCAAATTGAAACCACCCCAATGGCCACCAAAGGCTAGCTTAAACCAGGACATCTTTTAAGAATAATAATGACACAATAGGAAATCACTTCATGTGTGGCCATCTACGGAGCAGAGGCAGCAAGGAAACAGCTTGGGATGGGTCAAGAGTGGGGGAGGCCAGTGTGCTGCATTCACATGGCCAGGTTGTACCACAGCTGAGTTCAGGGGAAGGAAGGAAACTCTCTTTCCTGTTATCCCAAAGTAATAGCAGGCTCAGCAAACCCTCTGCCAGTGCTACGTTCTGCATTTTCTCTGAGCTTTGCAGCTCTAAGGTTTCGCTTTGCCGAAGAAGCATCCTTATGCAACCTGGTCCTTCCTTCGACTGTAACTAGCTGGGGTGATGTTCTCAAATGCCAGAGCCTGCCCTGGCAGCCAGCAGAGAAGACAGCAGCTGCTGGCTTGGAGCTTCCGTCTGACATCAGTCCACGTATATATGGAGCTATATGACTCTGTGTTTGAAATCCTTTCTCTTGTGGATTAGCAGAGGCAACCTCCACTCCCAACATCGATTTGTTAAACTCAAAAGAGGAAGTTTGATTTGGCTTCTCATTTATTTGTGATGCTAAATGGATGGAGTCCTGGCCAGCATGCTCACTGTAGTGTCTGGCCATGACTTGCAAGAGTGAATCAGAGGTCAATTGACAAATACAGAACATCCCCACTTTCTGAAGTCAGACTTAAAGCACAGTGCTTTTCAGCAGAGCTATGTTCCAGTGAGAGCTACCAATTCTACCTGAGATGCCCACCATATGAACTGGAGGTGCTGTGATTCTGGAAGTACTGACCATCATTATTATTGTACTATTATTTATTGTGTTTCTATACCACCCATAGCCAAAGCTCTCTGGGCTGCTTACAGCAAAATGTAAAACAATAAAATACAACAAATAAAAACAATTAGCAAGAAGGCACTGAATGCTTAGCCCTTAAAGCTCTCTGGGTCATACGCCTGCGATGCTGAATTAGGGTTGCCACTTTCTTCTGAAGTCCCATCTCAGACACTACACAACAGGCAGGCACAACTTTTTTCTGAATTTGGCTAGTGAAGATGGATGAAAATGCTGTTCTGTTAATTGACTGATACGAATGTAACAAATGTGCAAAATTCTTCCTAGATCATATAGCGAAAACTTAGCATCAAACACCATCATTATGAATATTATAATACGGGAGAAAATGAGAATGGAAAAGTCACCAATCCCTGGTTCCACCATGTTCATATTATGTTTATGTATTGGGTGTCTGGACAAGCTGTCCAGAGATGTGTTGTGATTGGACGGGATAAAAAACACCTAAATAAATTCCCAAGCAAGGGGTGATCAGACAGCACTGGAATTCAGACACATGTGCCCCAACCTTCGCCTCTCTATTGTAATCTGTTATAAGATCGAACATAATGTCAGGAGTCATTGAGGAGGTACCAACATACGACATCCTTCGGCTAAACCCTGGCTCAACAAATTTCTGTGGAGCCAGCACTGCCACTCAGGACGTGGATGCTGGGCAGTTCTGAATAGTCACTAATATAACATCCCACACAATGTCACCTTGCACAGCCAGGTAAATCTATACTGCCCATCACTGTGGCAGAAAGACCAGCAAGCCTGAAAGGGAACTAAGGTGCTAGGGCCTCTTCTATCTTCCATCCAAAGAGTTATGGGCTTTTAAAGAACTGCTAAGCTGAAATCCCTCTTGGAACTTCACTTTGTTGATAGGATGTCGAACTAGGAGGACATTTGGAAAGTTTGAAGGTGATGGCTTCAATGCCAGTAATGTTTCCAGTGGCAATAATTGCTACATTGATTCCTGCCAGGAACCATTCCTTGTTAAGCTCCAGCCTGAGACAGGAAGCCCTGCCTTCACTCTTACAGCTTCATGATGGGGCTGCATGATGACATGGCAGCATCATCAAGTCAGTTCAGAGTGAGGGCAGTGCTGTTGTTCCAGGGTGTCTTGTACTGTGGGAAAATAGACCGTACCAGCTCCTGGATTGTTGAGACTCCTGGGAGCACAATGCATTGGCAAAATAGATGGCAGCAGTGGTCAGAAACATAAAGGGCTTTGTAACCCTCCTGATCCTAAAACTCAAGTTTTCAATTAAAGAAACTTGGCAACAAACTTTTGGTTTAGCCCCATATTTATTTTCTATTTGATATGTTAATTATACTAACACCCCACCTTTTTCCTGCGAGAAACTCAAGATGGCTTACACAATCTTCCTTATTTTTGTCCTCACAAGAATGTTATGAGGTAGGTTAGAATAAGAGTCTGTGACTGGCCCAATGTCATCCAGTGAGCTTTGTGGGCAAGTGAGGACTAGAACCCTGATCTCCTGAGTCCCAGTCCAACACTCCAGCACCATGCCACACTGGCTCATTAAGGTACACCTGCGGCTCACACAGCAGTATTGCCTCTCAACCTTCCTTTGCTTGACATGAGGTTCAGTTGTGGATTTGCCAGTTCTCTGTAGCCTGAAAGAACCAAGAGTTGATTAAGGTGGGTGTATGCAGTGCTGGCCCCAGATTTTTGTGAGTCCTTGGACAAGACACCCCATGGGCACCTCTCCCTCGGTGAGGCAACTTTCTCACTGCCACTGCCAGCTACTGTTATTGCCCCTTAAACTCTTCCTCATCCTCCCAGGCAGAGTGAGGAGCCAATAAGTGAGGAGTCCATGGCATCTACTGGTTCTCCTCACCACCTCCATGTTTGGGCCAGGGTGCTCTTGTCCCTGAGCTCCCTAACCCTAACCCTTGGCTGGTACCCAACTATGCCTACCCTTGATAGGCACACGAATGAGAAAATCCATCAACATGGTCCACGGAAGCATGAGACAGAACTGTAGCAGCTGTAGGCTTGGCAAATCTAAGGATCTGCCTAGTTCCCTGAGGACAGTCTTTAGCTGAGCTGGTGGTTGGGCTCCAAGGCTGTGCATTCACCAGTAATAATGGAAGCATATCAGGAGCAGTATTTCTGAGGACGCCTCTGCTCTGTGACCTCTGAGCTGTTCCAGGGCCAATCCCTGATCACAGCAACTTCAAGAGTTTTCTTGTTCTATCTTTAAAGCAGCCTCATTGTTTTAACAATCATAGTTCCTGGAGTTCTGTGCCTAAAATTGTTTTAGAGCCTTCCTGTCCCTTCGTATTTGCTCAACAGTGAAGCAAAATGAAAGGCGTCCGACGTTGGTGCTGCTATTGTTGTGGGAGGAAGTGGGTGTGGCTGTGAAAGTTGCATCAAGCCATCCTCCATTTTGAAAGCACAAAAACACCCCTGTGTGGCAGCTCTTGTGACACTTCGATTTGGTTTTATTTCTTTTAACCAACTTCCCCACCCCTAAAGAAAAAAAGCCTATTCTTAAAAGGCTAGCACTTTCTGGACGGTTCAAGCACAAGGCAGCCCAAATTATGAGGCTAGTAAATGATGCAGTTAGGTAATTTAGACTCTGGGCTTAACGGTTCTGTGAGGATCTTCCCCACTCAACTTTTTCTCTTTAGATGGGGAAGTGCCCCTTACTTCAAAATGTGACAAGCCAGACTCGCTCTTTGAAGGGCCCTGGATGTTCATCCCAAAGTCAATACCGCTGGAGCCCATGAGTAGTGGGGCACCATGAGATGGCTGAAGGCTAAGTGGGCACCTTGAGAAACTAAGCAACCATCTTGGATGCCTGTCAGTGGCTACTGATGGCCAGAGGCAATATGCCTACACCCCAGCTGCTGTGGAAGATAGGTGTTGCACTTGTGTTCTGTTTGTGGGGTTCCAGTGGCAGTGTCTGTACAGACTGCTGGCCTAGATGGGCCCTTGGTTTAGTCCAACACAGCTCTGGACCAATATGTTTAGAGTCTAAAATTACCTAACTGCATGCCAGGCCCCTGGAATCCATCCCTAATTAGACATCTCTGGACTCTTCTGAAGTAAGAGACAACATCATAAGAGGTCTATAAAGTTGTGCATGGTGTGGAGGAGGTGGATCTGAGCCACCTTTTCTAATACTAGAACCATGAAGCTGAATTCAAGGCCAGATGAAAGAAATAGCTTCTTCACGGAGCACATGGTTAAACTATGAGCTTCACTTCTACAAGATGTGCTATGGGCAACTGCTTTGTGTACCTTTAGAAGGCGATTGGACAAATTCTTGAAGAAAAAGACTATCAATGATGGCTCTATACATCCTGTAGAAGATACAGTATGTCTACCAGTTGCTGGGAACCCCGGTGGGGAAGGTGCTATTGCATTCAGTCCTGCTTGTGGATTTCTGGGGAGCAGCTGGTTGGCCACTGTGTGAATAGACTACTGGACTGGATGGATCCTGGTCTGTACCAGGATGGCCATTCATAGGTTTTCGTGATGCAACCAACGCTGCATGCTCATTGGAACACGGGAAGCTTTTGAGGCACTGCTCTCTCTTCTGTCCCACTCTGCCAGTTTAAGGGCTATGATATTGCCAGGAATAGAATCAAGGAACACAACAATTGCCTGATATAGGCCATGCAGCTGCCGGCAGAACCAAGGCAGCCTCCGAGGCACAGTTATTGTCCAGCATGGTCCCTCAAGCAGGGCTGGGTGAAGGGGTGATTCGGAGACCTCTTGGCTGTTCTGCTATGGTAAGGGTGAAGGCTGCCTCTGGGTCTGGAGCTGGATATGTATTTATCCCAGTGGAGCATGCAAGAGACCTTTGCCATTTAGAGTGTTCCTGTAAGCCACTGTGAAGGAAAATACATAAATATAATGGGTATTTATAGATAATGAATAAAAATGCAATGCATAAAAATAGATAAGCCACACTGCCATGCATTTCTGTCATTTAGTCCCTGCTAGCCTCAGTGCTGAGCCAGCCCCTGGGGGACCCACACGCCGGCACAAGTCTGAAAGGTGCTGCCTCGTGCTGCACTGGGACTGGATGCTCTGAACTGTGGCTCCAAGCTTCTGTCAAACAAGCAACCTGAGGAAAGGGCCCAGTTTGCCTGTTCAGTGGTTGGCATGACAGTCACTTGGTCTTACCTGCCCTAGGCTTAGTTTGTTATGCTTGGCAAATTAAGGAAGGCTTCTCTCCCCACTGGATTCCTTTCTCCTAACTTGGTGTTTCTCTTTCCAACAGAGGCAGGGAGATGTCAATCCCTGTGAAGATCCTTGGATGACCTGTGGGTTCCAGTCTACCTACTACCAGCAGAGGGCAATCTATCCACTCTGGGATGAGACAGCCATTCAGGAAGTGCCCACTGGACTAGAATATCATAATGCAGGTAGACAATTCTATCCCCCACCTTTTAGATGCATATTTTTATACCTACAGAAACTGCTTTCTGTTTCCTTTTCTCAGAAGCTGGCGAATACTCCCTCTACTAGTACAGCACAGTGGTTAAGAGATCAAAGTCCTACTTTGATTCTTGCCTCTGCTAAAAATTTACCAGGTGTTCTTAGACGAGCCATGCTGTCCCAGTCTCAGTCTCCACTTTAATTGCCTGTGATATGGGGACAATGATGCTAACCATCCTTAAAGGGGTATGTGTGTCCAAAGACTGCAAAAATATATTGTATTGGAAGTTCTTCGTGCTATTAAATAATTGAATAAGCTATAGGAATCATTATTTATTGATCTTCATCTTGGAAATCATGGCTGTAAGAGGATGACTTATTATATTTTAATGATTTATAGCCCACCTCCCCACCACCACTCAAAGGAAAAGAATGTAAGTACAGTATGGAGTTTAAAAAAGAGAAGAAATTACAAAACACAGTAGCACTGAAACCAAATGAGATGGCATATAGTCAGCAGGAATTATGAACTTGAGAAAAGTACCTCTGTTTCCTTTTTGATAGTGGAACAGAGAGAAATGCAAGGGAAAGTTTGGGCATGGGCATAGTTCATATAATTGTGAATTATTTATCTAAATGTGGGCTCCAACAGCACTGAAGCACAGAGCCACCAACAGAAACAGATTGGTTGGCAGCAGCAAAAGAACATGCGATATTTCTTCACATGGCACAGCATTCACTTCTGGAACTCACTACCATAGATTAAGGGCATGATTCCAACCATGTTCAGACAGAAAATGCCTTACAGCTCCCAGCTTTGCATCCCTAGTGTATATAATCTGATTAAACACATTTCTGGGTAGTAGGTAGGTCAATGACGGTGGCTTGGTGGAGTGAACCCCCTCCCTGCTCTGGGGCAGAATATTTCTGAATACCAGGTGCTGTGGGGGAAAGCCAGGGAATTGGCAGGGGGCATTCTGTCTTCATGCGCTACTTCTGGGTGTTGCAGGTACCTGCAGCTGGCCAGTGCTGAAAGCATTTTGGCCCAGACCAATTGTAGACAACCTGGTTCCCTGCTCTCCTCCTAGAATCCTTCCCTGCTCAAGCCACACTGGTTGCAGCTTCTAAAAGCTGCATTTCCAAGCAGCTGGATGGCATCAGAATTACTACCCCTGGAACAGATGGACCCAAACTCTAAGCCACAGTGCTCTTCTTATGTCATTTGCTCTTAGCATAAAATGTTGTAATAACACTTGTTTTACATTCTGGTATGTGCAGTAACCATTGTTTACAGTCAAGCGCTTCCTCTGTTCATTGCCATGTTATCATCATTTCCTCCACACCCTGCACACAGACAGAGATGCACATGCACAGACAGACATGCAAACACACTCGCACACACCCTCACAGACAGAGACGCTGTCACTTATTCTGCTGGCAAACTTTTACCTGCTACAACTTTTGTGTTTTGAATGCAAAGACTCAAAAAGATGTGTGATTACGTTTATATAAGATGCCTTTGAGGGCAACCATTTCCTTTCTCATATAAAATCAACCCGGCAACAATAAGAACCATAAGCAGCAGGTTCTAGCCACCCCCCCTCCTATTTCTACAACAAAGGGGGGTGTCATTTTAGCTTTTCCCATGTGAAAGAAAATGCCTGAGGGACACTTTGTGGGTTCAGCACTTAGCATAGCTCATCTAGACAAACATTCGCCTAAGATGCTAGTTGTCATGTGTAGGGAGGATTCAGAATTGACTCTCTTCAATGGGCTCCTAGGAACTGAACAGACCACATCCATCCAAGCCATATATTGCACGGATGTTGCCACAAGGGGATTACCAAAATCTTCTCATGAAGAAGAAAGAGGTTTTGCAAATTGGCTGTGAAGTTAGCAACTCAAGAGATGAGTTTTTTAAAAGCTGGCTTGGGAAGCAGACTATTTTGAAAAGTTATTTCATCAACAGAAGAAGCAACAAAAGTCCTCACAGCTGGAATAAGAATCTATTCATTTCTTAGAGCCCCTTCACTTAATTTGGAATAATTTGATAGAACAATGTAGCACTGGTGGGGACATACATTGAACTGCTGCTCAGACTTGGAAGAAATCATGCAATAAAGACACAAAGGCTTCTGAACATTTGCTGAATGTCTCTGGGTATCCCAAGAAATAACCGTGGCTGATCCCATGTGTTAGAGAATATGGCTTCAGGGCAGAGTTAGAGATTTAATATTGTTATTGCAGTTAATAGAACAGTTTGATATTATTAATATAATTCAACATTTATTTATTTTCTATCCCACCTTTCCACCAAAGGCAGTGCTCAAAGAAGCTAACAGTAACAAAACACAGGTTAAAAGTAGGATTTTAATTAAAAGATAATGTAAAACAGATTCATTAAAGCACAATTAAAAGCACAACAGTTAAATAACTATTTTATTTATTTATTTCCATTTCTATGACCCCATAACCTGGGGGCAGCTTACCATGCTAAAACAAAATAAAAACATATGTACAATACAATAAAACAATTGATGATCTAATAAAATAGATAAAACGATAAAATAATAAATAACATCACATAATAGAATATATGCACACGGACCAATGAATCGCTCCTAATTAACTCTGCAACCAAATGCCATCATTCAGTTTATCAGTTGCTGTGATAGCATTGTGCAAGCAAAGTTGTTTACAAAAAGGTGAGAAATACCATCAAATATTAAATTGAAAACCATACAAAACACAAAAATGAGAGCACAAAAACTGGGATGCAAGCAGCAATTTAAAAATAGCAGGCTACAACAAAGCCATTAAGCTGAAGGTTTAGAACTACGCAATGCATCATAAAAGATTGCTAAACTTTTTAAAAAGTCACCAGCATCCCTCTGAAGAGACCAGTGAATCTGCATGACAGATCTCAGAGTCAGCACTATAAAGGCCCTGTCTCTTTTACCCCCATTGAAGAGATTAGCACTGCAGAAGTTGAACATAAAATCCAAGCAAATTCCCATGCCCTCTTATATGTTAAAAAGTTTTACATACATCATCCTGATAGTTTTCATTACAACTCTGCAAAGTAGACCATAGCATTATATTGTCATATCATATTTAAGTTTAATAGGGGAGGGAGCTGAGGTTGAAAGAACAACCTGTGTAGGACACTGAGTGTGCTTAATAAAATTTAAATTGTGTTCCTTGCTCATTCTGATAATCACTGCACACACCAGCAGCTGTTCACAGAGGCATGATGAAATCCATGAAAATGATGCGCTAAGCAATGAAATTGATCTTCTCGGTAATGAATTATTTTTTTTTTATTTATTTTTAAAAAAATTATATGCCATCCTGTCGCAAAAAGCCTCAGGACAGCTTACAGCATAAAATACAACATAAATAAATTCCTGACCCACACTGGCTGCAGTTAAAAACATAGAAAAGACAACTTTAAAACTTATTAAACTATTGCTGGAATAAAAAGGTCTTAACCTGGCGCTGAAAAACAAATAACAATGGCACCAGGCGGACCTCTCTGGGGAGCGCATTCCATAGATGGGGCACCACCGCAGAGGAAGCCCTCCTCCGGGTACTTTGCCTCCTAATATCTTTCACGGAGGGTTCCGGGAGGAGAGCCTCTGCTGTCGATCTCAAGGGGCAGGAGGGCAAATATGGAAGAAGGTGTTCCTTCAGGTATCCAGGTCCCAAGCCATGGAAATTGATGCCCTCTGCAATGAAATTGATGCCCTCTGCAATGAAATCGACAGTTCCAGCAATGAAACTGATTCTCCCAAGTGACCTGAAAGGCTTATTTTTTCCTCATTCATTGTCCTCTCTCTTTTGCTATTAGAATCTGATTTAGTATCATCTTGTCACTTTGTTCGACTTAATGCTTCTATTTGTGCCTCTATTTTAATTTCTATTTTAAGCCAGAGAGGGGGAAATACGCATTTGTATCTTTCTCTAGGTACACAGTTTCATTTCTCCTTTGGCTGCACATGTGTGTGGAATTAATGGGGCGCCTCCTAATCGGCTTTTTCAAAAGCCAGCATTTCAATTTCAAAATAGTAATAGATGTTGTTTTAAAACACCCTTCTAATTTATTATTAGTAATAGTATTAATAATAATATTTCCCAAGTTATGGCACTGTTTGACTTTCCAGAGGAATGCTGGTCTTTGATGCCCCAAGCAAGATTATTTACACGTCAGATAAGATTATAAAGTTCTACAGTTGTAGGCTGGTGTGGTTTTTAGACCTTCATTAGGCCATAAAATCCAGGCTTTGAGCCTTCTTGAAAAAAAGATGTTTAGATGCAAGAATTTGGACTGGAATGTTATCACTTTCCTAGAGTTCCAAAGATACTTCTAAAGATGTATATGTTCTGTAGTTGTTGCTGCTACCATATTTAGTTCAAACAGCAGAATGGAGCAGTGGATGATCCGAGGTTGCAAAACTCTGGGAGGCTTATTTTGGAAGCCTGGAGAACTGCTGCTTCCACACCTGATAGAGGCATGACATTTCATCACCATTGCTTTGATCTGTGCGGGAAAAGCCAAATTAGGAACAGCTGAGGTACAGGGGACAGCTAGGAGAACAAGCACGTCCACTGTGGGGCTAGATCGAATCATGGCTCTTTGCTGCCCTCTCAGCCTTGTTCCCCCCGAGTGCTTTGGTCTGTTGTCAGCGTTCCTATCCATTGACATCCTGGCTGGGACTGATGGCAGTGAAAGTCCAAAACACCTGGAGGATCCGAGCGTGGAGAAGTTTGCTCTGCATCAAGGCATGTTGATTTCTGAATAAATTATGGAAATCAAGCACAATTGCCCATTTTCTTCATTTGCATAGTCTGTTCTGTTGGGGAAGGAGCAGTGGTCTAACTCATCTCTTGGAGATGCAAGTCCCTTTCAGACCCTCCTGACTTCCAAAAATTCACCAAGCATGCCCGTATTCTATTTCCTAAATGGTAAGATCTAGAAATGTCCAAG